TCCTCAAAAAATTAGAAATGGAGCTGCCTTTTGACCCAGTGATTCCACTCCTAGGAATGTATCCTAAGAAACCTGAAACACTAATCAGAAAGAATATATGTACCCCGATGTTCATAGCAGCACAGTTTACAATAGCTAAGATCTGGAAACAGCCCAAGTGCCCATCAGGAGATGAGTGGATAAAAAGCTGTGGGACATTTACACCATGGATACTACGCAGCTGTAAAGAAGAAGGATCTCGTACCCTTTGGGACAGTATGGATGGACCTGGAGAATATTATGCTGAGTGAAATAAGCCAGGCAGAGAAAGACAAATATCACATGATCTCGCTTACATATGGAATCTAAAGAACTTAATAAACTGAGGAACAGAATAGATTCAATGACATGGAAGCATAGATCAGACTGACGAATGTCAGGGGGATGGAGGAGGGCAGGTGGGTGGAGGGGGAGAGAGTAACCAAAGAACTTATATGCAAATATGCACAACCCAAGGACATGGACAATGGTGGGGAGAGGGACTGGGGAGGGGGAAGGGACGGGGTGGAACGAGTCATTGGGGAGAAAAAGGGACATCTGTAATATTTTAAACAAAAATAAAATAAAAATAAAAAAAGAAATCAAGAGAGCTCACCACAAAAATAGTACTCAAGCAAGAGGTTTATTAAAAAGCTCATCCAGCCCTGGCCAGGTGGATCAGTTGGTTGGAGCATCCTCCCATACACCAAAAGGTTGTGGGTTCAATTCCCAGTCAGGGCACATATCTAGGTTGCAGGTTTGATCCCTGGTCCAGGTGCCTATGGGAAGCAACTAATCAATGCTTCTCTCTCTCTCTCTCTCTCTCTCTCTCTATATATATATATATATATCCCTAAAAATTAATAAAGACATATCCTCTGGTGAGGATTTTAAAAAAAAAGCTCACGTACACGAGGAAAACAGCATCTGAAGGGAGAAAGAAACGGTTGCTGCTCCCTGAACAAAGGCAGGGAAACAGCTTTAAAGTTGAGGCAGGAAAGATGATGTCTGAGCGTGACGTCTAAGTATGTAGAGGCAGGGACTCTTTGACACTTGTACAGTGAAACTACACACTTCTTCATGCACCACGGTTCATTAGTATGTTAACTGTCCACCCAGGGGTGTCTTTTTTATCATTATAATGAGGGTGAGGTTATGCAGCATTCATTCTGGGACTAAACTGCCCTTTCATAAGGGTTGGGGACATCTCTGCCTGGTGAGGTAGAACCATTCTGTCTGGGTGTAGGATTGGGTGCAGGATTTGAGGGGCAACTTATGAAAATTCTAATTTTAACTAGAGGAGGTTCAGTCTGTCTCACATATATACAATGGAATATGACTGAGCCATAAACAAGAATGAAATCTTGTCACTTACAATAACATCGATGGACCTAGAGCAGTGATTTTCAAACCTTTTCACCTCATGGCACATGTAAACTATTAAAATTCTGCAGAACACCAAAAAATATATTTTTTGCCAATATGACAAAAAAAGGGTACAATTTTGATTGATTTACAAAAAAAAGTAATTACCTACCCTTTTGCTCCAAAGGGACTTTTAAAAACAATCAGATGCCTATACTTGTATATAAGGATTTCTGGTACCAAGAATTAACCAACCAGATGCAAATTTATTATGCCACATGACCAATAAAAAGCAATTAAGATGCAACTCTTTATTATGACCTATATATTTATGGTTCAAGACAGGGCATTTACATGGGACAGCTAGTGTGTTGGCTGTTGTCATTTTTTAAATTTGACAATCTAAGGGAAAAGAGGTTAGTGTCCCTGACTAAGTAGTCAGGTATTGCATGTTTTAAAAATTCTTGCAGCACACCTGTTGAAAACTGCTAACNCAGTGCACCTGGTGGTCAGACTTGACCACGCTGGATTACAACCCTACCACAGGCACAAGTGACACACTCAAGGGAAGCACTTGGTGAACCAAAGCTCCACTGAAGTAAATCCTGCTCCAGNCGGGTATTATGCTGAGTGAAATAAGTCAGACAGAGAAAGACAAATGCCATTTGATTTCACTTATATGTGGAATATAAAAAATAAAGCAGAGGGAGAAAAAAACCAAGATGGCAGCGTAGGTAACAGCCGCACCCGCCGCCTCCCGCAACCACATCAAAATTACAACTAAAATATCGAACCACTGTCACTCAGAGCCTCCTGAGATCCGGCTGAACAGAAGCCCCACAACCAGGGATCTGAAGAAGCACTGAGACTGGTAGGAGGGGCGCAGACGCGGGCGGGTCGGGGCTGAATTGTAGAGATGTGGCCGCGGGCCCACACCCGGTGCCGCCGTTGAAACCTGGAAGGGAATCTCGGCAGCAGAGTTTTCCCGGAGGAGGGAGGGGTCCCAGCCCCACAGCAGGCCCCAGCCCAGGGCTCCAGGCCCGGAAGAGACGTCCCCACAACTCCGGGCTGTGAAACCAGCGGGGACTGT